CAAATCGCCTACTCCAGTGGTTCCCAAACTGAGGGATAGTGTACAGTCAGCAGATTATTTTGCAAAAGAAACCTCTATATACCTCAATATGACTCGCATTACCCGCTTGAGTGCTCCATTATCAGTTGTAGCAGTTGTGGTTGTATCAATAACAGACCACTAGATGGAGCCATTGAAGAATCAGAGTTGTATTGCAGGGAGCCATGTAGAAATATAAATGAACGATGCATGGTTCTGCTCTGAGCATAAAAGTTACACGTTTGTGAAAGGACTTCCAGTGCCATGTAAACGTAAAGCAGATTATCAATATACTTAAGATTCACAAATACCAAAACAACGTGTCTACACCAGACGCGAGCGGCGCGATTTGACAAAAGCAAATAGAACCCAGTGATGCTCTCTGCTGTGGATGCGGCGCGATGCGACACGACAAATCCATGACAGTAAACTGATGCCCCGTTCTATTTCTGACGAACTCCAGCGCTCTGACACAAAGGACCATTTCAAATATTCATAAGAGAATCGTGAAAAATTCATTTGTAGGCCTATCGTGATTTTTTTTATTTGTGCTATCATTAGTAATTTCTTTATTTGTTCTTGTTTTATTACTGACTGCTTACTTGTCATTTTTTATTCAATTCAAAGTTTGAAATCAAGCTATCTCGTGCTACTGCACCAAAATTACCCCACTGTAAAATTAAAAAAACACTGAGTGAGCAAAAATTTGTGAGATAGCTAGTTATAATGGTAATTAAATAATGTTTACACATGTATAAAAGCTTACATTAAAATCTGTCATATAAATTGGTCTCTTCATTAGAAATTGGCCTACTGATTGCCACCATTGATGGACAATTTTTAATATTAAAAATATCTGTATGACATTATATTCTGCAGTTCTTCCCTGTTGTACCGAATATCTATACTTTTCAAATTATCATATCAAAGTTAGAAATTCAAATATTGTGACAACATTTATTTTGTAGGGTGCCACAAGTTTGTTAAAATTTCCAAAGGGTGCCGCGACTAAAAAAAGGTTGGGAAACACTGGCCTGGACAGTGTAAAATAACGTGATATGAATTTTAGCTCATATTGCCCACCCCTAATAATAGGTGCCCTTTAACACAAACATCTCAGACTAGAACTTAAATAACAATCAATTTAAAATATGAACATTGTGATTAGTTAAACATCAATAGGAGTTCCAGGCAGTGGTGTAATGTAACAAAGTAATAATACTTCGTTAGAGTACTTAAGTATATTTTGGGAGTATCTGTACTTTACTTGAGTTTTAATATTTCAGCCAACTTTTACTCAATTACATTTCCTAATTAAAATGTATACTTTTACTCCAATACATTTCGTTACTTACTACAAAATAGTCAGAAG